CCATGTATCTAAAAATGCCCTTTCCGTGGATAGCGCGTCAATAGTCAAGACATTCAAATGGCGATTTCGCGATACATGAGAGAGTGATCGACATTTAATCGTGGGATAAATATCAAGATTTTTATGGACATGCAACTAACGAAAAGCTTCAAGAGGGTTTTGAAGGAGTAGTTTTTATGGATGCCATATAGTGTAAATTTTGACTGGCAAACAAATGGATAAATAAAGTCATTAATCTTAGGATACTTTCCTACACTTAGTAGCCGTGTAATAACTACCATTTCATAATGTACTAAATCGACGAGCAATATTTAAGTCAGCTGTGACAACTACACTATTGATTGACTATGTCTGTATGAAATTAAAAGGAGTATGTGATCGAGCGAGAACCTTGAGTCAGAGATAGCGAAGTGAGATACATGAAAAATCACATTGGTATGTCTTTATTAAAATATAAGGGTCATAGGAAACATGAGCCGAAATGTTAACGAAGATCACGCTTTTGAATTTGTCAACAAGGCAGGGAAAATACACATCTCCATAATCAAGAAGAAATTTAACTTGAACCGCATACCTAAAGGAAACAAGCATTGTTAATCTCTTTGAACGGAATGCCAGCAACTGAACTCACTACAAGTGCGAACCGCCGCCTTTAGATACCTATTCGCAAATGAGTTATTACTGTACTTCTCGTTAAAACACAATTCTGGATTATTCTTGATAATGACAGCAGTTTTTCTATCACGTATGGAGAATTGGATATCGAACAAAGCATCGAGATCACGAAGGAGTTCATTATCTTCAATAACAAGAACTGGTTTGCTAGGTCTTTGCTCGACTAGTCGTAAGTTCTTCATATTTGGAAACTGCGTCCAGTTGCTATTCTTGACGATTAGAGTACCATAAAGAACTTCTACTGCAGCACTGATATCATCGTTCGTGATGTCAATATCATCAGTTACGTTTTTGCATGTAGATGGTAGTGGTCGGCGATAGGAGCAAGCTGCAATTATTTAGCCAATTAAAGCAAAATAGGTATCTGATTATTCGAATATTCGCTGTGGTATTTCGTATAATCCTTACAGTATGGCATTTGGACCAGGTTGAAGACACGAGGTGAGCAACGTTTCCTCTCACATTCCTTCAGCAATTGCGTTGTGTCGAGTTGTGGATTATCACGAACAAGAAGTCGAACTCGTTTACCGTTCTCAATCTCAAACTGTGGTAGCTCACTCAACTGAGTGTTGTTGATGAGCACTAGTTCAGCATCTGAACAATGTACATATGTGATCTCCAAACGGAAAATGTGGAAACTTCATATCTACCTTTTACTAATTTTACCACAGGCATATCACTTATTCGAGTTAAACTGGTATTCTCCAAATAAAATTGATAATATGTGGTTGATGTTCTGATGACCTGAGAAGTCCGAACTTGAAGCTTCGCCAAATGCACCTTGAATAATTAAAAACCGTGTAAAGTCGCGGATGAGCCATAACTTCTCGATTAGCTTTTAAAACAAGATGAGTGCACTTATCACTATAACTAAGATAGACGTCTCTTTTAAAAGAGATTTCACAAAACTGAAGAGCATCTGTAAAACAAATGTTCCACCTCGCGCACAGGCGTAATTATCGTATAACTTACTAGATACGATTATGTGAGAAAGTAGGAATTTCAGCCACATACGTTGTCCAAAATATGAAAATGAAACTCTCTCGCTTTCTGCGTATGTCGATAGAGCATCTATATGGATTTTTGACCATGAAGGTTCCACTTTTTATTCCTTTACCCATGTTCATCTTGTAGCACATGCACAAAAAGATGGACGTCTATATGTGCTTACACCATCGTTGCTATAGAGACGTTTTGAAAATCCATTCAAATTTGACAGTACCGCGGAAGTGACCCCATGCATTGCATTGAAAGGAACAATATTAAGCATCAAAAGACAATCGTCGGATTTACTTTTCCAGCATTCATTTCATATTTGTGCTCAATTTACAGTGGGAAAATAAAAGCAAGATGGAAAAGAGAGTCGAAATGCTTCTCTCACCATAATA